AATGAAACCCAGCTCTGATGATGTCCATCATATGATGGACGAAAGCCCAGCACGTTTTCACCCGAAACGAAAGAGGAAGTCTTGTGGATTGCGTCAAAATGAATATCGTATAAAAGCCAAACGGCTGCAGTACAGCAGGATTCATCCGTCCTCATCTGGTAAGATCGACCAACAAATCTCTTCTTCATTAACTTTAATGCGAATTGAAAGTCCCCCTTATAATATTATCTCAAGAGTGTCATCGAAACCCAGTTTTTTTTCATATCTGAAATATTGTAGATTTGATTAAGTACTTATTTCCTATGACTTACTGGTGAGTTGCGATGGGGCCTTAATTTACACCAACATTCCAGTTCAGGGGGCTATTCATGCTCTATCACTTATTCTGGAAAGGCATCTGGAGATTCTAGTAGTAAGCCCATGTATACTTTTACTATACAACAAATAAACCTATCCATGGCCATCTTTGATAGTACATTTTATGATTAGAAGCAAGGACTCGCAATAAGGTCCTAGTATCCTAGGATTAGATGGGAATTTCAACTTGAGAGACGCGAGGAGTGTGTTTTTCGTGAATTAAAAGGAAAAATGGCAAGCTGTGTATTTTCACGTCAGCGGTTATGACTTAAGCCGGATACAGGGCCCCAAAGAATGAGATACAATGTGGTCGAAGATAAACGAGTCATGAGTTTGAAGCCTAGCTAGAGGAAGATTCACAGGCAGCATGGACATGGGCATCATCTGCCCTAAATCCTCGGATATGGCGTAATCAGAGACAGGAATTGAAGGCTCCTAGGCAGCCAGAATTCAGACGACCAGACAGTGATTTTGATGTGTAGCAGCGACAAATTGACAAGCGGGATATGAGAAAGTGGGGAAGAATGTAAGCCGGGCGCCCTGCAAACGGCACATTGTACCGGTGGTAGAGATGATTACGCTTCACTAAACTCACTTCTAGCGGCACACTCTTAGTCGACATTGGAGAAGACGGGAGGACAGAAATGTGTGAATAGGTAAATATGAGGTGGGGCTGAGAGAAAAAGATGCAGCACCAGAAGGCAGAACCAAAAATAGGCGCGAGTACTGATGCCACAACGGTTGAACAGAAAATTTGTCAAGCGAATTGCCCTCACTTGTGACTTTGATAAGTTTTAACTCTTTCCTTACGATGGTGCCTCTCACTGACGATGCCGGCGAAACGTCTGAGAATGTACCAAGTCAATGGTCCAAAGCTAGAAATCACGAATGCTATGACGAGGACACAGGACTAGGT